GTAGGATTAAATAGGAATCTGACTAGGGCAGAAGAAAAACTGCTTTCTGCTCGTCTTTCTGAGCTTTTTCTCACTCATGTCTGTGGCTTTTCCTGTGGTGGAAAAGGCATTGGGTAGTTCAAGACATGAATTGTGATATTCCTCCTTTCCCAGGAGGTGCAGATTAGCCATGGACTGAACCAAGCTGGCAGAAAATCAGCCACTGGATTGAAAAATGCAGCTTCTCCATCTGATACTTCTTCCAGCACAGGGTCTCCTGGGCACAGTCGGGTTTATGGCTGTTGACACTGACACATTGAACCCTTCTGTGGACAAAGATATCTTGGAGCAAAAGGACGAGGTAAAGCCATCATGCCTGATGCCAGTTCTGGCTGCCTAATGCCAGCTGTGTCTGGAGCAGAGCACTGAGCCAAGTCCAAAGTGATAAGAGGCTGCAGAAGGGGCTTTTCTCTGTCCCAGTGCACACATGCCCCAGGAGTGGGGGCTGTGTTTGTGAGTTTCTGTGACAGCTCCAGCTGCCCCCAGGCAGTGTCTGTGTGCCAGGTCAGTGTTGCTCACCCTTCCCTGCTGTCTCCCTAGGAATCCACTTTTTTTGAATGTAGGACAGAGCTCCACAGGCCTGTGGCATTCTCTGTGTGGGTACAGGGCACAGGGGCCTGATTCGAACTAGGATGCTGGGGTGTGGTGTAACTTCCCCAGAAGCAGCACTCCACACAGAGATTCCTTCTGGCTGGTCTCCGAGGGTACTGAAAGAGTCACTGACCCCATGGAGACTGGGCTGTGCCTTTAGGGCACCTCTGCTGCCATCTCAGGTGGCAGGAAAACTTGCTCTTTCTTCTGTGTCTCCAGATACGGAGTCTGGGATTGGCAGTACTTTGTCCCCGCTCTCATCCAGCTTGGGCATGACAGGGAGCTCTCAGGGAGGGGTTCAGAGCATGTCTGTGGCCTCAGAAACCAGGCTGCCCACACTAAGCAGGGCTGGGGGGTTAGGGATCAAGGCAGGGCTCTGCCAGCCGTGCTGCCCTGGGTGAGGAGGGGAGCAGAGGGGATACAAAGCAGCCATTTCCCTGATGTCCCTACCTAGCTGTCTGTCATGACACTTATCTGAGCAGGGGCTGGCAATGGCTAGCACCACTGAATTTGGGGCTAGCATGGAAATGGACACTGCTTTTTTGGGGGTTGGTTTCTCTTCTGCCCCCTCATGTGCCTTGATGTGAAGGTGTGTGGCACAGAGTCAGCTTGTCAGTGGTATGGCTGGGGAATGAGGTTTAAAGCTGCTCTCATCAGTCTCCTCTCATGAGAGAGTGATCAGCACCAATGAAATTCTGTTTTCCAGATGGGAATACCTGGGCCTGGATGAGATCTGGGATCATCCCCTTTTCTAGAACTAAAATGGCTGCCAGTCTTGTGAAGTCTAGAAATTGTGGCATACTCCTGGGAAGAAGTATGATGAGGAGGGATTTCCTGCCTCCCTGGGGAAAAATTAATCTTAAATCCCTGGTTAGAGATCCTGATTACTTTAGCTGAATAGGACCTTGCTTAAGGACTGGATCCCAGCTCTGACACTGGTTCTGGTTTACCACGGTGGAGTGGTGGTGCTTGCTCAGTGTAAAGTAGTGGTTATCACCTGAGAATGGTAATCACAAACCCGAATGGTAACCCCTGTGTTTGTCTTAGGGCTGTTGTGTGTGTTTGCTTTTGTTAAGGCAAGGTGAGGAGCTGTGCCCAGGGGAGTGGCAAGCCATGGAGAAAGGCAGTTCCATTGCTGCAGCACTCAGGATCCTCATCCAAGACTGAGGTCCCTAAAGAAACATTCACTACCTGCTGTAAAACAGCACAAACCAGTTTGGGAGCTCTGCCTGAGGGGTGAGGGAGGCAGAAGGACCGTGAGGGTGCAATTTCCTGAGCTGTGCAGGGCCGCAGGGCAAAAGGAAAAATTCTGGTTTTGGTGAGATAACATCTCTGTACAGAGAGATGTCTCCCCCTGTCCCATGCCGCACTGAAGCATTTTGCACAGTGGTGTGCTTCATGTGGCCTGGTTTTGCAGAGCAGGGTGGCTGGTGCTTACCAGCAGAGATGCCCGCTGCCTGCTCCTGGCCCAGCAGTCTTTGTCCTGCTGAGTCACACCTGGCAGGGCAGGGCACTGATGCCAGCCTTGCTCCGCGTCCCTGGCTGCTGCTGCTGGTTCCCTTCGTGATCAGCTCGTGACCGGAGCGGAGGGAGCCGTGCCCAGGCTCAGGGATTGTCACTTAGGGACCACGTGGCTTTACAACTCTGCATTTATTTCCTTAACATGCTGTCTGCAGCTGGGCAAAGGTAGAAATGGGGGAGTGCTTACAGGGAAGTGCCCCTCGTGGGGCTGTTCAGTTGGAGTTGTCAATTGCGATCATGGGACATGCTGTATGTCAGAGTTCCTGTCAATGCTGTTTTATCTGGGTCAGCCCATCGGCTGCAGGTGGAGAGGCTGTAGGTGAGGTCAGGGAGGATGCCACCATGCTGCTGTGGTTCATGTAACAGGCTGGAACACCCACCTGAGGCCAACACTCCCTGTGTAGCACCTGGAGAGAGGCAGCCTCTGCCCCAGAAAGTCTGGTCACCTCTGGCCAATTCCCAAAGTTTTGAGTCTTGTCTTTTTAGCAGAAGCTTTAGCTGGGGTATGCTCCAATGCTTTTCTCTGGAACTTGCAGCCAGGGTCCTGTTGAGATGCTGCAGACAAGGCTTAGGGTTTGAGGGTTGAAGTGCAGAGCTGTGGGTGCACATAGGTTGTGTTGGCAGGCAGGTCCTTGGGAGGTTACACAGAAGGGATCTGGGATTCCCAGGCTATGAGGTGCTTGGTGTCCAAGTGTGGTGGGGACTGCATTGAGCCAAAGAGGTGATGGTCTGTGGGTGAGCACACAGGGCAGGAGCTTGCTTTAGGAGGGTGGTGCAGGGAAGTGGGCATGTCAGCAGTGCTTGAGGCTGCTTCTGCTGGGTGCAGGAACTCGAACAAAGTGATGGTTTGTCAGCATGTGCCTGTGTGTGGACTTAGAGTGGAAGGGGATGGAGTGGGGCTGTGTGGAAGGTGATACTGTGAGAACAAAACTATGTCCAGGTTTATGGGTATTTGGGGGGAAGCTGCCTTCAGCAGATTCAGATTTAACTTTTGGTTTGTGAGGGCTGTAAGTGAGATAGTAAAGCAACAGGATCTTAGCATGCATGGAGGGCACAGTCTAAGTCCCGGACACTTTTTCCTTGGGGAAATGCTGACACCTGAACCAGTGCAGTAGTTTGGCTTTTTCACAATGGAGAGGAAGACCAGAGGGCTGTCAGGTTTTTGAGGGGATGGAAATGTTTGTGTGGGGACACGCAGCAGCTGAGAGCATGTGCAAGTGCCAGCAGGGAGCCCCAGCCTCGGGTGCATTCCTGAAGTCACTTTTCCCATCACTGTGGTGGCACTCTGCCACCCGGCTGTGAGCCCAGAGCTGCCTGCAGAGCAGTACAAAGGAGAACTGGCACGGTGTGGGCTGGGGGAGCAGAGTGCAAGGGTACAGAGCTGCCTCACTGAGGGTACCAGAGGTCTGTGGGGTGCTCACTGCCCAGGGCTGGGCACAGCAGTGCCCAGGGGGTGGCTGGCTCCGGTCTGTGACCTCTGGTTCCTTCAGCCGAGTCAGCTGTGCTGGCTGCATCTTGCACCTCTGGGTCTGGTCCCTTCCACCCCAAAAGAGCCCCCAGAGAGCACCTTCCATCTAGGAGGAGTTAACAAACTCCCTTGCTGTCAGCAGACAGACAGGGGATTGGCTATCTTTTGGGGAGGTGATGTGCTCAGAGAGCTGAGAGGAAATGCAGTAGCCTGAGAAACATGTGGGAGATTGGGTTAGGTAATTTTGTGGCTCCCCAGGATTTTGAGCTCTGCTGTAGGAACAGGTGTCACTGGGTTTATTGAGAATCAGTGTTAGACCACCAGTGATGTCTGATTGCTATTCAAGAACTTGCTGTGTCCCATTTGGATTGAGCTGCAGTTCTTGCTGCAGGGCAGGGGAGAGCACAGAAACAAGTTGAGAATATCATGGCTCACAATGAAACTCTTCCAGTACAAAGGCTCCTAAGCCACAGGGGTGCTTGGGCAGGCTCTTCCCTTAAGAAAGGGAAACAGGATGGATAATGGAAAACTGGGTCTTAAGCTTTCTCATTGTTACCTTCTCTGTTTATTAAAGTGACTTTCTGGATAAAGCAGCTGTTCCATAGGAGTTTGGGCAAGGATAAGGAAAGCTTTCTAGCTGATACCACCAGAAGTTGTAAGGATGTACTTACAGCATAAGTAAGGGAAAATAGTTGTAGCTTTAAAAAAAGCATCTTAAGCAGAGAGGGGTGGAGAAACTCATCCATCTGGGAAGGCACAACAGGGCCTTGGTGACACCTTTGCCATGTTAGGAAGCTGCAGATGATAGTCTTGAGAGCTACCCTGTGAACATGTAAGAAGCTACTTGTAGGAAGGCTGCAGTGGAAGGCTGTCACCTCCTGTCCCTGAGTGGGGAGAGCTTTTGGGAGAGAATCAGCCTGATTAGCCCTTTTTTGTGGTACATCTAAATATCTTCACCTGCTGAAATGCATGGGCCGGTATCTGCGTTATCCTTTCTCCATCACTGGCAAACCTTGGATTAGAGTGACTGACAAAGCTCCTGTGCAGCTCTCCTGAACCAACAGCTGCTCACCAATATATGGAACAAGCAGAGTATTAATCCCTGGAGACAAAGTGGCTTTTGTATGATAGGGAACAGAGGAACAGTAGCACTAGTAATGGTGTAGAGTTCTGAAAATGAAACAATTTGACAATAATTGTATTGTAACCCTTTTCCTGCTGACCTATCAGCACCAAGGGACAGCTAAGTGAGTTACACACAGTTCTCTCAATTTAGACTTCAACACTGGGATCCCTAACAGTCTGTTAGGGATTTAATTCAACCAGAAAACATAGCCTAAGCATTAGAAAAGACTTCACTTCAGAATTCAGTAGGGTTTATTCTACAAATCTTAGATCAATGCCAATGATACAAGTTTTATGAATTCTCAGTAAAAATACAAGTCAGTATAAAGATTCCAATAGTAATATAATGCATGATGATTCAGTTTCAAAATTTAAGGAATGAATCTGTGTTTTGGACCATGCTACAGAAAAGGGGAACACAATGTAGAAAGAATAGTTACCTCCCTTTCCTTGAGGAGGGGCCTGTGCCTTATTGCCACAATACCTGAAAAAGCAATATGAAGTGCATAGCAGCCTTGCCTGTATAGTCTCCAGGCAAAACTTGAATTTAGTATCATAGTCCTCCTCCCCCTAGTTCTGCTCATTAAGGTACATTTTGATAGCCTGATATCATTATAATGACTTAAAGCTATTGCAATACCATCCCCAAAATGGTTATAAACATCACTTCTTGGAGCTGTAAAATGTTCTTGTGATGCACTGACACTTTTTCACCATGTTAACCATTTTGCCCAGTCTTTCCAGGAACACTAAATACATTCCAATTAAAGGTGAATTAGTTCCATATTCAAAACTCTCCTAGGATTTAAATGAAGTCTCAGTGCAGTCTAATATTTAAATGTGTTGTTCATAGCTTCAGGCACAATTAGAATGTAAATCAGACCTGTTTTCTTGACCCTAGCCCTCTGATGTGATGAAAGGTGTGCTAGCTTTCAAGGAACAGCTGGAATTTGGCCCCAGAATTGCTCCAAATGCTTTGGATTGGGGGAGAACAAAACTACCCTTTTTTTTTTTTTCTGGGAGCTGCCTGCACTTAGAAGGGGATTTGGCTTCATAAAGCCACACCCTAAGCCTAAATTTTAGAAAAAGTTTAGCTCTCACAAGAGGTAACTTTTGACAAGATGTGCACCTCATCCCCCAAATGCTGTGGTGCATCTCTTTATTCCCAGTGACATTTTCACCCTGTCAGGCCCAGTGGGCATCTGTGGCTGAGCCCAGTCATTTCTTGTAGCAGAACCACATGGATGGTGCAGAGCAGGGATCATGCATGGATCTGCAGCAGCACACAGGGAGTGAGGCTGAACAATATGCACACAGCTCTGAACAGGACTTTGGTGCAGTGATGCTTAACTGAAACTCCGCTTTTACCAAAAGATTATAGCATAACACAGAAATCTGAAAGAAAAGGATCAAAAGAAGCTGCTGACTTCCATGCACCAGTTAAAGAAAAAACCCCTCTTGCATAAACTGAGCAGCTGCACAGAACAGGCACCCACTTGGCTACACCAATACATCTTTTCTGCTGTAGGAATTTTCAAAAATTATTCACCCAACATCATACTACCATGTTTTAGCATCATACCAAAATGTAGTATTAAACCATCATGCAGGTTTGGGGAATTTCTTCAGCTGTACTAAACACTGCTGTGCTCGCTTTGAATACATATTGTCAGTCTGATTTGTCTTTGTAGTAGATGCACCTTTAACAGTCACATTTAATCTGAAGTAAAAAAAAGTTCAGTAGCCCATATTGAGCTCTTGTCCAGTCAAAGTGACAAAAAAATACAAGGTTCTCATTAAACTGCATATATTCTAGAAAAGGGGGTTACTTTGCATTTAAGTCACACTTAATACAAGTTGGTCTGAAACTGTGAACTGATTCTATTTAGAACAAAGTATGGCACAGATTCCCAATACCTATGGACACTGTGTAAATAACGCATTTTTCTCTTTGCAATGATTATCAATTCGCCAAAAACAGTATAATAGTCAAAAGGGAAGGGTGAAGGAAAACAGATTTAGGAGAAGAAATAAAAAATGCCTAAGAATTGAAAATAAATGACTTCTTTTGTAAGAAACTTTATTTAACTTCATTTTTAAAAATGCATTCTCTCCTCAGAACAAATGCCACCATAAAAAAAAAAAGATTGCAGTAGCACACACTTGCACTCAAAAGGAAACATGCAAAACTGATGGCTGAAAAATTTTTGCATAAAAATCGAAGACTTCAGGCAAAAGCTTGCCCCTGTGTACCTTTAGGGACCCCAGACCATGAACAGCTTTCAGTGCAATGTCTCTTGCTTCCAATTGGTGGGGAAACATATGGCAGGTGCTTGTCTTCTGACAGCTACACTCTCCCAGATGTTTGAAGCAAAAACAGTCTCAGCTATGTTTTAAAACATCATTGTTAAACTGTTGCAGGAAGTACAAACAAAATTCAAGAAAATGTCAGAATCCAGTGAAGAAAAACTTTTGAGATCTACCCTGTGCCATACACTTCTTAAAAAAAATTAGACAGAAAAACAAATTTTATTAATACACCCTCTTTAAATTTTTTTATTTCTGAAAGCAGCTTTTTATGCAAATCAAAAGCAGTTCCTGAGTGACTGCAGTAAACAGTGTCTTTTAAATATATTTGCGCCTCAGCTCTTCCGTTTTGGTTCTTCCTTGTTTTTCTCCCCAGTTTTCAAGTTTAATCTCAGTTCTTTTTCAAAAATGTGCAAGTTCAGTTAGCATCCTTTCCAGAAGTCCACAGCTTGCAGCTCTTCCTGCAAGAACTCTAAGATCTGCACATACCTAGGCTGTAGTCCTACCCTATTGCAGGCTTTGCTCTCAGACCTGTCCAGGATGTGCCCTCACGTCTTCTTCAGCATGCGCCGCGACTGCCACGTGTGGAACTTATTGTAGGCTGTCTGCAGCATCTCTTCTATATGACCTACCAACTGAAACAGGAAAAGGGAGAAAACATTGTCCCAGCTGCTGGAAACACATCACTCCCCTTCCTTTCAGGTGCATTATTGCTTTTATTCACTAGGAGTAATCTCTCTAAAATGAGAGAAAGGACCTTGAGGCTCTGTTGTAAAATATCCATAGAGGGAGCAGTGCAGAGAGCTGCTGAGCTGAAAGGGAAGGGGGAAGTGACCCCTCCATTGTGCTCTCTGTTCTGGTATTTAGTCTCTGACCACTTCAGAGCTCTCCCCCCATGTCAGATTTGAAGTTGCTCAAGTTCCACTTCACAGTGGAAGTGAAAAATGAAACGTGACTTCCTCTTTCTTTCTATCACTCCTGTAATTTCAGGTTACAGTTCTTGTCAGTTGCTGGCATCACTCAGCAAACTGGACAGGGAGAGACAACAGCATAACTGTGTACCCAATTTCCCTCTCCCCATTTCCTAGTCAATAAAAAAAATAAAATGTCCTAGGATAAGAAGTAACAAACCTATCATCCTCTCATAGTTAAGAATGAAATTATTAATATGCACCCACATAATAAACAGTACTTTTCCCTTACATTTGTGCTTAAATATTGTCTCCGAATCTTTTCTTGGAATGGGCAGAGCTTTGTAACCTGAAATCTTTCCAAGTTGCTCCTCATTTTCACAACCTGAGAGAGACAGAAACCAGTATTACAATACTGAAGAATTACAGTAAGATAGAAGTTTAATTTCCTTTAACAAACTATTCTCCAACAAAACCTTATAACTAATTCTGGGGGCTACTTCGAGTTTGTGTAGTTTGAGGAAGGAAAGTTATTCAAATATCTCTAACACTTCTCTGTATTTATTTTTGAGATAGGTGCAGTATGACTGAAAGTGCAGTGTGCCACTGTGATTATTACCTCCTTAATAACAGATATAAGATATTCACAAAATGTGATACATTTTGTTATATATAATGTGATATTCTTATAAATAGATACAAGATATTCACAAAATGTTTTTCTTTTGCAAGCAAAGACTAGATTTTCAGGCCAGATTTTGCAGCAGATATGCAAATGTACCAGAATGCAAATTTTAATCTTTGTTATCCATGTGACGCAAAAAGTAACAGAAAAATAGTTACAGTCATAGACCTGGCTGTAGGCAAACATCTCTCCTTGAAGGCAACTTAGTTCTCAAGAGCAGTGTGTGTTCTGAAGGTATGACAGTGATTTTGCAATGGATAGAAGAATGAGGGATACTTGCTTGTACTGTGTAACCTCACTGTGGAAGTTATTTCTTGGAGCTGGGGAAGGGAGGCTTTAGTTTTTGTGTTTTAAATGTGAACCCTGCAGCTGCAACTGAGCTGCCCATTCTGTTTGAAACTGGCTAACAGCTACTGTTCCTAAAGGGAGCTAACAGACAGGCAGGGACAAGGATGATTTCAATTAATAGTACCAGCAGAACTGCTGAGAAAAATAAGGTTTCATGTTATTTTGTGACCTTCAGTTCTAGGGATGAGTAAGTGCTGCATTGATTTGATGCATGTGTATTAGTTCCATACTTCAGTAATGCCAGCCACTGTAAACCACATCATAACCAGGGCCATAAGAGGGAGCTCTGCCTTACCTTTTCTTCTAGGAATGGCGTGTTAACAGGGAAGCAGGACCAGAAGTGTCGTAGCAGTTCCCCTACTGCCACATACAAGTGTTTCAGTTCAGACTGAATGTCATTTGGCACCATCTCTGCAACAGGAAAAAGGGTTTTTTCACATCACTCAAAGGATCCTATGAAAAATGAGAACTAAGGCTAACAAAGGAGCTCAGTGATGCACACTTCCACTACAGTCATTCTGTGACTGGCTGGGAGGGGACACTGAGGTGCCTCACAGCAATTAGATCAAGACTATCAGCAGCTGTTAGATCAGGTCAGCTGCTATTTATGGCTCTATACTTGGAAGCTTGTGTACTATTCAGAAAGATCCATGCCAGGCAAAGAATGGACACCAAACCTAATCCAGGATTAGAAGCAGTGTATTTGTATTGTTCCAACAGTGTGGCACAGAAGCAGTGTATTTGTATTGTTCCAACAGTGTGGCAGTGCTGCTGCTGGCTTGTCCCAACAGCACAGTGCTAAGAACTCAGTGGTACTTCAACTTTTTCACTCTATCTTATGTTGGTAATATGGTTACAGCATGTGAAAAATGAAAAATCCAGACAGGAAAAAAGAACTGTGTTCCAGATATTCTTACAGAAGAAAGGGTGACAGGGCTCAAGAACAAGGAAAGAGCCACAGCTGTAAAAACTCAAACAAAAAGTACAAGTAGTCACTGAGGGTGAGCACAGTGAACTGAACAGTGAATATCAAATTTTAGGATGAGGCTGTTAAAAGAAAGAAGTGGTGGTCAAGCTCAAAGAAGTGAAGTGTAGCACCCTGTATGTCAATCAGGATGGGTAAGAAAGCCTCACCACTGCTTGCTGATTCCTTTTATTTCAGTACCATAAAGAAGTCGTAGTTGGTTTTCAGCTGTCTGAATTACTTTCTGCTGCTTTTCAGACCAGGTAACACAAGATAAACTGGAAAACTGTAATAAATCCTGAGAATAGGGATTCATCTGCTGTGAGACTGAAGAGACAGGAGCTCAAACTGGCAGCAATGTGACAGTAGGGAAAGGAGTGGTTGACTGGAGGCATGAGGAGGAGAGGCTGTCTGATTTGCTCTTGCAGTCTACAAGGAAGTTGCCTTTTTTCACAGCAAGCTGTGAATCTTAAATGCAGGCTGCAAAAAACTTAGTTTCAGATTATTATCTAGGTTTTTCTTCCTTAAGAGTTTTCAGAGTATGTTATATTCTACAATCTGGGGGGGAAAAAAAGCTGAACAAGTAAAACCTCACATCTGTAAGATAATTTGGTATCTATCAGGTGTTTCCTTCATTACCTGCTGTGTAAAATGTTCTCCTGTTCACTTGCCTCAGTGCTGGTGTAGCCATTACCACCCCCATGGTGAGGCTGGTGGTGGCATGGTGCTTTTCTTTTGCTCTGTAACCCAGGACTACTCCAGCTACACATTTCCATACTTTCCTTTATCACTGGAACATGTTTTAAGGGAGAGATGTACCAGCAAGCCAGCTAGTGCTGTGCAATGCACCAGGATACAATTAAAGCATTAGACACCCCAAATCCTTACGGTTTATGGCTTGCTGTGTTCCACCCTGCATAAGTGCTCCTCCAGGTGACAGGACTGCAATAGTGCTGGCAGCATCACCACTTGAAAGAACCTGGAGAGAAAGAGTACAAATATTCCAGGTTATTTTTTCTAATAAATTCTTTTAAAAATAAGATTAGTTAAACACCTACATGGAAGTTCAGGTTCTGCTCTTTTCCAGAATTATGTGCTATAGCTTGTTTGCAGTGAAAACTCTCTAATTAGTTGTAGCCTTTTCTCTGCCTAGACCTTGAACAGGCTGTGCACTTACTCTGAAATGACAGAAGTGTACTGTTACTATGCAGAAGTGTAGCAGAATGCTGGCTGCTTTACTCAGGGCCAAACTTAGTTTACAAACACATAAATTCAGATGCTGGCTGGGGAGATTGGCCACAGGGCTCTGCTGCCCTCCAGGTGCCAGCACAGAGCTTCTGTGCAGCCCACAGCACACTGACAGCCTAAGTGCTGTCATTTAGGAGCAAAAGGCCAGTTCAATTGAAAACCTGCTCACTGTAACCTCCTAGACTTCTCAGGGTGGATGAATACACTGGCCTGGGCATGACTGTCCTCCTTTAGTACCTTATACCTTTACTGTTTCCTCAAAAGAAAGCAGGAACAGAAGAATATAACTGAGCATCAGCAATGACTGTTTCCTCTAGTGTATTTTAAAAATAACAGCTCAAAAGGTATCATCTAAACCTTTAAAATAAATCAGTTAACAGAAATTGGAGATAATTGAAGTTTACCATGAAAAATTTAAACTTCAGTAGACATGAGACACGAAATTGTATAGAAAGCAAGCTAAGATCAAGAGGGGTATTTTTAAAATATACTTCCATACCTGAGTTAGTTTGGGTACATATGCTTCCATTTCTTGTCTAATACTCTGAAATGAATTAATTATATCCTGACTAGTTGCATATTGCTGTGATTGAATTGGAGTTGGACCATGGTAATACCTGTGAGGTGAGAAAAGGGAAGGGAAAAGTGTTACTAGTAAGAGTAAAGCAACAGAAAACTCCTGGACAGTTCTTCTACTGTTTCTAATTTTAGATGCTTTGCAACTGTTACCAGTACTTTATATATTGACAAAGTACAATATATTGCCACATGGGAAGAGGCTGGGTCAGGAGCATATAACAGCTTCAGTTGTTGAATCTGTGATCATTCTGCCAATGAAAAGCCACCTTTGCCACCAGATTCTGGAAATATTATTAGAATGGAGCAATTCCCATAACTTTCAACTGAAGTTAATGTAAATGAAGTTAGGTGCACATTGGAACTGTTCTCTTTCAGGTAGTACTGCTCCTTTTCTGATGTTACACCTATGGTTCTCAAACTCAAAAGTCTAGAAAACAGGAGGACTACCACTAGAAAAATCTTAGACCACTGAGCAGTCCAAACTATCCCAACTGCACTTTTATGCCTGGGAGAGGATTTTTCTTGGAATTCTATATATTTTCATATAGGCTTTCACAGAAATTACATGTCAAGGTCATTCAGGTTGGCTTAGAGACTTAACCCTCTGAAAAGTAAGATGGAATATGGCAGGGGTGTTGGACTAGATGATCTCCAGATGTCACTTCTTACCCCAACCACTCTGAGAAATGAAATTATAAATTTAAGGGGAAACTGGTTTATGCAAATGCTCATACTAGGTTCCTAAACTCAGTTGTAACACACTTGATTGGCACAGTAGGGACTAAATCAGCTGGTCCTGTGTGGGCTGTGATGAAACCCCTGCTAAACTGGCTCTGCTGAAACAGCTGTGCATTATTTTAACTTACCTATCAGACTTCTTTAAGTTTAGTGCAATAGTTTTAACGCTATTATTCTTTGATAAATCTTCGTATTCAATGGCCTCCTGCAGTTTTACCTAAAATTAGCCAAATAATGATACATGTTACTAAGGAAGGCACAAGTCCATACATCCAGTGCTTTCTTCTGCTGCATCAAGTTTGAGCTGAAGGGTTACTAAAACCTAAAAGAAAACCCAGGTATGGAATGACTCATGCCTACCCTCCAGAGGGAGTGATGCCCAGTGTTGCTGGATGGGCCATTTGGAAGTCTTGGCACCATTGCTTTTTCTCCAGATTCTGTGAAAATTAGGCAGTTCCTGCCACTTCCAAAACATGTTCCAAAAGGTATAATAGATAATAATTTGTGCTCTCTATTTATGTCCATCCAACTCCAGATTAGCAGAAATACTCATGATTTCATAGCTGGTGCATAGGAGTCTGAGACTAAAAGCACAGTAATTACCCCAAGCTATCTGGTGACAGCAGAGCTGTGGAGTACTAGTGAGAGGTAACAGCACAGTGACATCAGACTTTGTACAACTAGAAAACCATTTCTGAAATCCCCTATTCTTCCACTACTTTTACTCTCCTTTTCATCGCATTTCTTCCAGTCTTGCTATATAATTTTCTGCTCAGTAAAACTTAGAGCTTTTGAGGAACATCAAAGACTACCCTGACACTTGCCAACTTGTATTCTACAAGGTTTTCTCACAATGCAACCAAGTTTGGAGTCTCTGTTTTCTGTTTAGGCCGCCAGCTCCAGGAAGAGCATTCAATTCAGTTTTATAGCAATTACAGTACTCTCTTCCACTTTGTGAGCTGCTCTGGTTAATCTAGACCAGGCTGTTGCCCTGTATTTCTGTGTACCAGGTGTCACTACACTCAGTTCAACCTCACTTCAGCTTCTGACTAAGATGAAGGCTGTAATGTGCCAGTTTCATCATCCCCTCTACAAACAACACATTTGACAGGTTAATATTGGTGCTTGAACACCAATATCCTTTTCTGATGGATGTTCTTTAGAAGTTTTCAGGCATTTGAAAGAAAAACAAAATGAAGGAGGCTGAAAATAGAACTGCAGCAAATGGAAAGAACCAGATTTCTGAGTCCAATCTGAACTATCTTGGAATTTTTTACTTTTATTGGGCACTACTGAGGAGAAAAACAGCACAATACTTCAATGTGTAACTTATTTGTGTTTACTAACACAGGTAACAAGGCTTCTTACAGGCTCTCAGGTTGTTATTCTATATAGTTCTAAACAAGGCTAAAAATGTTTTACTTCAGATGTGTCATAAACCAAGTAAGGAACTTTCAGCAATTTTTTCAGAGACAGAGCTTCCAGTTCCATTCAGTTAGAATCACATCAGCTAACTTTATACCTTTTTCAGTGGTGGCTGAAAGAAATCTGAATCCCTGGAGTTTCCATCCGTACTGCTGGTCTCACTGTAATGGTCATTTTGTGCTTCTCTTAAAATAGAGAAACAGCATTAAGAAGAATTCACCTCACAGGAAACTTAAGATACAAGCTAGACACAAAGTAAATACATCTGTTTCAAAAGCTTCATATGCATGTTCACATACTTTTTTCCCCTTATGTCTTAATTTCTAGCAGTTGGTGTAGACAAAAGGAACTAACTCCTCACATTAACCCTGTTTGTCACAGGGGAAATTCCTCAGCAGGGGAAGGTGCTGGTCCCTCTCTTCAGAAATAGCAGCATGCCAACAGTGCATGTGGGACACAGCAAAATCATGGCTAAACTAGAAACACTTTGTACACACAGTTATGCAACCAGGTATTAGCAGAGCTCTGGGAGCTCTATCCTGTTGTGCCTTTCTGAACTGAGAAACAAACACACTTTGCCCAAAAGAGATTGCTTAAGGTGCAGAGTACAATTTGTGCAAAACAGAGGAACAATGTGAGGGAGCCCAGCCAAACAGAAGGAAGTGTTAACTAAGATCTCTCTCAGTTAAGGTCTGTAGGATTTGGGTAGAGTAGTAATCCTTGCTGGTTGTCCATAAAGCAGTTGTAGAGCAGGTGACCTGCCAGGTGTTTTTGGTCAGGGGCAGAGTACTGCACCTTAGGAGTCTTTCATCTGATCCACCTATGCCACACTGCAGGAAACCCCAGCAGACCTGCTCCTGGAAGGCAGGAAATAGGAAATTCCTGCACCAGACCTCACCTCCACTACTTCTGCTGCCTTCACCAGGGCTAGACATCTAAGGCAGACCCATTCTTTTCTTTTTAATCTGCTTTATATCATAACTCAGTTAAAAATAGCAGTCATCATTTCAAAGAGCTCTGAAAAACTTCTATAAAGAAAAATGAAACCTAAAGGTATTTTAATTTTTAGAGGAAAATAATTAATTCATAAAAAATTAAAAGAAAAGGTTGTATGAATAACTGAAGATGTGCTTTTGTTTTGGAAATTCCTTAAAATTTATTCCAGAAATCTATTAGACAACACTGCAACTCACTGTTTCCTGAGGCCAGCTGCAAGGACCATGGCACTATGATGATTAAAGCGTTTTATGATGGCAGCATTGCTGCTTTCTCTAGCAGACTTTGAGGCATTTGATGTAGAGGCCACAGAAGCAACACCATAGCCCTGCAAAGAAAACAACATTCATTCCCTCTTGGCTCCCAGAGCAGCAGGACAATTCTGTTTTCCCTGGAGTCAGGAAGCCATCACCATCCAGAACTGCTTTCCTAGTTTTGCCCCACCATCTCCTTATGTACTTTGAAAAACCTCCAGTGACTATTGTATTCTGCTAACACTTGGCAATTCAGAGGTGTCAGAGAGAAGGTAACAAGTCTTATATTGGTAATTTTATGAGACCATGATATAAGTAAAAACTGAACTAGCTTAAAAAAATTAAGGATAACCTGTGCAAAACAGGCGTTGATGGTAAGGAAAAGACAGCAATTGTTTTACTGACTGGTTTTTAACATCTAGTGGCACACCAGCAGCCTACAGGCTAAAATATACCTGTCAGGAGGATGTGATACCACTGGAAAATTCAAAAAACTTCAAGCCTTAAAATGCTGGTAGAGTTCCCCACTTGCCAGGTGGCACTTTACCCCATGGGCAGTTTCATGCTTGCTGTAAATCAGCCTCAAAAGGAAATCAGGGCAGTTTGCAGAGCACTTATAACACATCTATCCTAAACTCATGGTCCACTTTCAGGCTGCTAGCTTTGGACAACTCCCACAAAAAGAAAATGAAAAAAGAAAATACAAAAAAAAACCCACTAAAAAACTTAAAAATGCAGCTTCATTATTAACTACAACTGAATGGTTTCAGTTACATCAAGTGCAGAAAAGCACATCTCTGTTGCTTCACATTATGGTACACCATTGATATGAATTGTTTTAACTTGTTCTTGGAGGCAGGTAATAATTCAAGTTAGTTTTAATTTTAGCAAAAAAAGGTATTTGAAACTAAACAAAGAACACTGCATAAAGTGTCCTTCAGTTAGGCTGAATCAAGTAGCAGTGTTCAAAGTAAGAAAAAATCAAAGACTTTTCCCTGGTTTGTGCTACTCTTCTGTACATTGTCACAGACTCTTAGAAGTAGGAAAAAACCAGAGTTCACTTTAGACTAAAAAGCCAAATGTAAGAGCAATTCTTTAAAGAAGGGAAGTCCTGTATTTACACCCTGCACACCAAGGCAGATGTGACCACACAGGTCCATGGGCACAGTCTCCATTTCCCTTCACACACACAACAGCAGCGATGTTGAGTACCCAACCACTGCAACTGCCTAATAAGGAATTGTTTTTAGAATTAGCATCTGTAGTGGTTTTAAAAGAAATAGCCACTTAAATGTAACTAAAGAAGGGCTATGGTTTTCTTTTGGATTTTTTGTTTGTTTTCTGTTTTGTTTCCCCAAGTACTTACTTCATCTAATGTTTTATCTTCCAAAGCTGTTAAATCTATCAGAGGGTTTTTCACTCCTTGAGACACCATTGCTTTTAACCCTGTGTGAAACAAAAAAATCATGAAAAACTGTATCTAAACAAATAGCATAACTATGGGATCATCATGTTACATTTAATCTTTAAAAGAAAACAAACGTTCTGCACAGGCCCAAATAACACTGGGACTAAAACTTTAAACCCTTTTTAAAGTTCCATTTAAAATAAGTAATAAATGTGAGAAGTTACTCCAAAACATCTTCCTACTAATTAGCTCAGTTTTCACTAACTTCTACAAATCACTGAACACTGATTAAAAAATAAATTGAGATGCAGTTATAGTGGTGGGATCTGAGAAGCCAAAATTGCAGTTCTTCTAATTTTGGCACTGTTCTGCTGCCCTGCCTGGGCAGTATGACAGTTTATATCTGGTGATAGCTTTGACTTGTCAAGGGTTTTGCATTCCTAATAGAAAGCTTTCAATACATACTATGGAATGGTGGTAAGTGATCCCAACTCCTCACATTTTGGTATCATCACAAACATATCTCAAAAGTTCCTAAAAAACTTGAGTCAGATAATATGTTATTATTTCAGATTAAAAAGACTGACAGAGAAGAAGGATGACAATTCCTCTGGGAAATCTGGGCAAATAGGAATCTTATTTACTAAAACCCCATCTATAACAAAAGCTGTACCTGTTGTAAATTGTGCACGTACTACAAAACAAAACCTATTATGTACACAGAATTATCCCATAGTAACTGATGGCACATAATCAATCTACCAGGATGGCATGCTATGGAATTTGCAGTAAAGCTTCCATCTAGTGCTGCCACTTTCCAAAGGTAATTTGTTCCAAGAAATATGCTCAGAATGGCAAAGTTGTAGCTAACTTGCCATGACCATCTGTAGTTTTCAGGGACAACCAGCTTACCTTTCTCATCCAGTTTGGCACATTCTGCAAAGAGGTCTTTTGAGCCTGTATTGAGCCTGTCCCGATGAAAATAATGAGACTGAAAAAATCGTGTCCAGAATTCCCTCTCAGTCATGTTATGTGGAACATTCTCTGCATATTTCATTTTTACTGTGAACAAAACCCAGAACAATTACAAACTGTTCCACAAATCTTAACGTGGTATTTTAGATCACCATTTCTTTGATGGCTTCCTTGCTTTCTGGCTGCTTCCATTCACTCCCATTAAATGCAAGGGACTGCAGTAGTTAAGCATGAGTGAACAGGTACTCACGGCTTTAAAGCTTTGAAAAGTACAGGTAACAGTGGCCTGAACACTCCTGAATTGCCCTCACACTAGGGACCAAAATGAATCAGTGTCAGTGTTCATTACAGTGGATGGGAAATGATGGAAAACAGGTTATTTTCCTCCCAAAGGTGATTTCATGAAAAATAACAATTAATTGGAACACTGAGTAGGAGACTGTCATGGAAATCAAACATTTACTCACAATTTAAAAAACAAAAACTCAACACAAGTTAAAATGTTTTCATTTAATAAAATCTCAGATGAACATTTTAGTCTTTCTACAGTAAGGCAGTAAAAAGACCAATCTTAAATGGATGTGTTTGGTATGTAAACTCTGCTCTTACCTGCAGGGTATGTCCGAAATATGGATTCGATAATATCCGAAGTCAGGTTGTACCTCAGCCCGTTGCAGCCGTCTGTCTGAGGCCGTACATCAGCCTGAGAAAAAGCACACAGGGAAAAAACAGTCATGTCTGCAGCTTTCTCTAACTGGAGAAGGAAAAGAACTGCAATCTTGCAAGCAAAGTCTGCTGCAGGTAAAAAAATCATCTTCCTCCAGTAATCTAAATCAAATCCATATATGTCCAATCAAATCCAGCGTATTTGATCGTACATAGGTATTTTAGAATAAGGAATGAACAAGCAAACATGAATTACTTTATTATACTTGCCATTTAAGGGATGATTTAACAAGCAGACTGCAGGCTTTAGAAAGCAAAGAGCACTCCATTGGTCAAAACAAGGTATGCTTAATTAATTCATGCTTATCCTTGTGTCTAAGTTAAAATAAGTAAGCATACTGTATATGCCTCATGTTTTATTGTTCACTCAACAATTCAGCTAGTGAATGATCAGTGGCTATAATGAAGTGACAAAAAAGGATTTATGGCTCTTACACCTTATTCCCTTATAATATAAGTATACACAGTTGTATACTAAAAACATCTTAGTGTAACTGATAAGTAACACTGAATTTAAAGCCTGAGGATTAGCCTTAGTCAGAACTTTGATCTCAGTGATCTCTTTAGGAAGTTCTGGAGGAGGAGTGCTCTGTCCAGTTCTCAGAAACAGGAAAAGTACGATTGCACAGCCTGCTGCCTTTTCCTCCCTTTCCTGTGTACCTCAAGCCTAGCTTTTGTACCATCATCTTCATAGGCTAACATATTCTGAGCAGAGTCAGTCAGATTCAACTTGAATTGGGACACACAAATATCTAAGATATCTTCTTCACAAATGCAGAGAACACAAACATAACCAGGTGGTATAAGAACGTTTTAGTTTTCAAGGTTTGGTGAGTTTACCTTTCATTGTGGTTTCTTTTTTTTAACATTAAGGTGCAATAACAACGGGAAACAGGAAATCAGAGCAATCAAATTTGTCTGGCAACTGATTTTGGTATTTCCACGGGGGAAAAAAAATCAAATGGTTGTACAGCAGCTAAATTAAACCAATTCCTACCTCTTCTTTCCCTCCCAAATCCACTGTGAGCACAGTCATTACAAAGGTGGAAGTGGGATTCCATCTAAAGAGTCCTGTGAGTTTTGTTGCAGAAGCAGAAACATACCTCTGTGTGAGCAATCTGATGTTGTACCTAGATTACTTTTTGACTGCACTGAATTTACTCAAGCACAATTTCGACAAAGGGGTAAAATAACTGAAAGTTAGAGAAAGAAAGACAGAAAATGAGCTTCCAGACACACAAGTTGTTCTTCAAGTCGCTGAAAGCATGTACTGGTTTAAAAAATTGGGGAGAGAATAAAACCCTTATGTGGAAAGGTTCATTTATGCATGTCAATGCTGCCACAGATATGCTCTTTAATTTATTGAGCTCATACATTTTAATCTAGTGACCATATATTCACATCACTCCTGTTTTACAGAAGGCAGAGCAGCAGTACAAACATCATCTGCCTATTGGCAATTTGAAGTTCAAATAGCATATCTTAAACTGACAAAATGTTGAGGTTGCAGATTAGAAGGAAGCCTTTGTTTTTCTCCTTTACACCTGGAAAAGCAGAGAGTTGTTGAGGAACCAGCAAAGTTCACGTATATGGGAATAAAGTGCATGAGCAGAACCCCAATTTGTTTGCTCTAAAATCCTGTAAGTTAAAGGTTCAACATACCAGGAATGCTGCAGAGATGCCCACATCTTGTTTATTAGGTGCTGCAGAATTGTCCCCTGCATTCAGGCTTAAACGGTTGGCCCAGAATTCTTCAGCACTGATTACTTGGCTCACAACAAGGTCTTTATAGAGCTGAAACAAAACAGGATCTTCTTGCAGCATTCTGGTAAAAGAATGTATTGAATAGAATTGAAACACTGCAGAATAAATCACTAGTATTTCCACAACTAACACAAGTTCACAAAAGGAACAGAAACCAACTTTTCTTTCAAAATGCTGTGCATTTCTTAACAATACTGTCTAAACACCCAATGTCAATAGCACTGCTTGTCTGAAAAGACTTAAGAAATAGATGTTAATACTGGAAGTTAGAAAACAGTAACACCTAAGAAAAACTTATTGTGGGATTCATGTCTTGTCCTAAAATGTTCTGTGATGCTTTTGTGTCTTTGCACACCAGGACTGGAATCTTCTGAACTGTAAAAGCACAATGAATATTCTTGCTGTTCCATAACAGAAATATGATGAGGGAGGAAAAAAGGAGATCTGAGTGCTGTCCAATTCTTGGTTTAAGATCTTAAAATTCAGTAGCTACAGAGCTCTATTCTAGTGCAAGAGTATAGATCACAAAATATGTATGGGATAAGATCTCTTAAAACACACTACTCCAATGGTTGTTCATTTATGTTTCTGTGGTAGCAGTAGGATCTTCATCCTTTAATCAGATAATCAGACACAGCACAAGTATGAGACACGTTCCGTGTCACTACTTCCACCAGGGAGCATTGTTTACAAAAGTTATCACCCACATATCAGGTATCACTACCCAAAATGCAAAGACTGTGCATCTGAATCTTCACTCATGCTTAAGCAGCTGTTTTTACAGCTGTGTACCTTATCAGAAACCCACTGGGCTATTTTCAGGGAAGCATGCATGTGTGTTCACAATCTGCCAATAACCCACCAGTCTTTAGCATGTACCTCAGGGTCCTGATCAATTGCAAACAATGCAAAAAACCAGGAGTCTTATGGATACATGGTCTAGGGATGAACATGGGTAAACTGCAATCTGAACAGAATGAAAGCCTTTAGCTGCTTTAAGGACGAAGCAGGATGAGGTGGAAGTGAAAGCTTTGTGACAGGATTATTATGTTTCAACCAGCAGGGTTTCTCCAGTTTTTCTTATCGTCACAAGTATGGATTAGTGGCAATTCTTACAAATTAGTGCAGCTGAAAGCAGTCTGTTATTCTTGTTATTTCATTAAAGCTTGGAATTTTGGTACATACTCAACTCCCACATATCAACAAATGAAGGAAGTTCCATGGAGGAGGAAGGACCCTGGATGTTGTACCCTCCCACAACAGGCTGGATCTTTTCTGCCTGATCTGTTGCAATTAAGTTAATGAAGCCCCATCAGCAGACTTGGGTTTCTAATCAAGAGAACAAACTATGGCTGAGTAGGTGCAGGGATTCTGGCTTTTCTGTAACTAGAAAAGCTCCTGATACTTCATGGTGTGATGCTGTAAATCTCCATTTAAGGAGGCAAAGATTCAGAGCTAAGACTGCCCATGTTCTCAGCACCAATACTGTCAGAAAAAAGGCACGTAGCATAAAGAAACGAGTATGGGAACAGTGCCAGTGCAGGCTGCATTGCTGCAGACTCTAGTGGCTGCTGCAGTACTGGAACCAGTTAATCCTGGTTGTGTCACAGCTCCAGCACAAGGGCTCTTGCTCTTCTGCTGGGAAATCTCCTTGTAAAGATCCAGTCTGTCCCATGAGGCAACGCTCTCACGTTTTGAAAAATCTACGTTCAGAGATACAAGAGTCTTTGGAAATGGAAGCCATAGACACAGGATTCACAGCAGACACTAAAATGAAGTGAAATTTGTCCAGGGAGATGCAGAGAAGAGAGCTCTGTGGCCACAGGAATTGGATTAACAAACATGTTAAAGGAACGGAAATGTATCTCAAGAGCCCATATGGGAAAAGGACTTAGGTCCTCAACATCTTCTCAAACAATTTCTTAGAGTAAACATCCTGTATGCCAAATAACAAACTGCAGCCTCTCAAGTGAGATGCATGAAAATACCTAACAATTTAGTAGTCTATAAAACATCAGGAAAGATTTGAGGGGCAAATGGGGCTTTATGGGGAGGAAAAAAAAATCACCAGGCTCCACAAAATTTCTGGAAAAGGAAAAAAGAATCTTTCAAGCAGCTTTTCTAACTGATACATATATATTTAAGAAGACTAAAGAGACAGGCTGCCAGTTGGGTGCTCTCCTCTCATAGCTATGGATAAGAAAGACCGGGTGGCAGCCAGACTGGCTGCCTTGACACCTCAAGAACGTGTCACTAAGCACACAAGTGTAGTCTCAACATGTGACAGTTATGCAAGCCTCAAGGAACTGCCTTGAAATTGAAAGCCGGGAGATTTTTACTAGGGAAACAAATGCTGTATCATTCATGATGTTGAAATAACAACACGTGTTAACAGAAATACACAACAGTTAGCTAACAGATAGAAGAAAAAACCCAACAGACTTTTAGGATGTTATCCCTTTACCTGTTCTTCTCCTCAAGTTCTTTATTAGCTTTCCTTTTGAACTTGGGCAAGAGCTGTTGTAGAAGATCCTTGACCGCATCTCGTTCCTTCACTGCTGTGCTTTCATTGGAGAAGTGGAAGTTGGTTGTGTCCCCTGCATGCAATACCAGCTGCAGCTGAATTTTAGCTTTACCTTCTGGACTGATTTTCTGGCCTAGATTGCAGAGAGACAGACAGTAAGCTTATACAAGAAACTGTCTTCCCTAGAGTATTTGCTTATAAGCAGTTATTCTCATCATCCAATTAAATACCATTACCCTGCATGTGAATTGCAGCTGTGAAAATGGAACAGTCAGTCTTCCCCTTGAATTAGATTGAATCCTGCACCTTGTTCACTCTAAAATACAAGACACAGACAGTAACAGCCTGTTGCTTAATACCCTTCAGCTCTTGAACAGGAGTCCTGATTCATCTTTGTATTCCACACAGGATCCATTAGAAAACTGCTGCAAATGAGGCTGTCATCACCTGGACACTTTAACCTGGAAGCAATCCAGGCTGCTGCTGAAAGGTGACCTCATTCCCCTTTCCACTTCTTCCTGCTGCATTTCTTGTGTGATGGCTAGTGTTTGTGCAGCAAGCTGAAGCAAGGAACTGCTCCACTGAAAAGCACCCCCTTTTGTTTTTGCAGCTGGCCCAGCTCCTGCAGAAGGACAGTGGTAGGAAAGCAGAGGTAGGGTGGTAGGAGCACATCTGGATCCCAGTTTCCAGTGGTGAGTTAAGTGCAGTTAGCCACTAATGCTCCCCAAATTAATCACCAATGCCTCCAAGGTACTACTACATCCTCATGAGTCATAAGAAGAATCTAATTCCTGCTTCCATCCTCATAACCAGAGGGAGCAGAGGCTGGGACACCTATGCTTATGGACTGTTGTGCTATAGTGACTTTAGTGAAGCACTGCAAATGGCACTAACCTAACTTTTAATAGCAGCCTTTTCTCTAAAGCAAGTGGGAGACAGGAACCAGATATCAACACTAAATCACCTTCTCTATTACAAATTTACAAAAACATCTCATCCTTTTTTTATTTCAGATGACAAAAAGCACATCTTTTATCTAAGTTAAAAATACTTCAATGCCTATACATGTGCATATATAAAATACAAGGTGCTTAAGTGTGAGTTAATAGCTAAATAAAACCTTCACAAAGTTGATTATTACAGACGAATGGGGCTTTTAAACTTCTTATCACTTTCATATTTAAGAAAATATCATCTTAGTTCTGATTCATCACACACTTTCAATCATGCCACAGTACCTGTATGTGACTTTAAACAGCAACAATCACTAAAGTGTTACAAAGTGACACATACAACTCACTTTTTATTCCTACTTTGGCATTAAAGCACGTGATATATAAGCACTAATTGGAGCCAGAAAGGCAGCATGCTATAAACATCTACTGTTTAGTTTTGACTTGCAAGTACTCTGCTGTTGCAACAGCAAATGCTTATTCAGAATGTTAGCAGCTAGGCCAAACTACAGAAGCTGACACTTCTGAAGCTATGGTCTGTTGGATGAAAATAAAACTGAGTTCATTTTATATGAAAATCGAAACAGCTTTAGATACTGAGTTAAACAGATGACATGCCAGATAGTTTCTGTGTTAGACTGAAAATCCTATATGCTTCCTTGATCCTCCTCCCACCCTTCCCTCTACAAGCATATGGCATGGATTATTTTTCTGTTCAATTTATTGCAGAAGTTTATCAGAGTTAATAGTAAATGCAGCAGATGTAAGTTAAACATCTGAAGACTGCAGAAGTTCTGTGGTAGCATCCTTAGGCTGGTGATACTTTACCAGTCCTGATCTCTGCTGCTACGGAGCAGCCTGGCCAGAGCTCCAGAGCCCTGCAACCCTCCTGAGGCAGCAGCACCCAGCAGGCATGGCAGGTGAGCTCTGTGTGGTACTGAGGTCTCTGTGGCACTCTGCTGAGTGCAGCAGGCGGTGCTCACTCACATTTGATGTCTGCATACATGTGGCTGACGGTGAAGCGGTCCTTGCCCTCGGGAGCCCAGGCAATGCGCTCAGCCATCAGGTACAGGGCCCCATCCTGCTTCTTCTGCCGCACCTTCTTCACTATCAGCAGCACTTCTTCCGACGATGTTGCCATTGCGGCTACAATGAGCTGTTAACAACATACAGTTGAGCTGATTAGCTGTGCTGCAACTCTTTCACTACTCCTGTCTATATTAAAGTATTATTTGTTCATGCCTATATCATTTTGGGAGTATTTCAGATAAATGTGCTCCCCTCTTTCACTACAATCAGCAAATTTATTTAAACAAAATACTCCCACCTACCTAAAGAATTCATCTAATTATATTGCTGGTACTACTGCTTTTGATCCACTAAAAGACCCACAAATCTTACATTTAAACTGATAACTAAATGTTCCTGTTTTACTGTCCTTTTACTGGTTTTTCTAGTTCAGAAGAATACCGAAGCTAAGCAATGACGAATTCCAAATCTTCTCTGGTACTGGCAGCAATTCCCTTCTTCAGCAGGAATGGCAGATGCTAAGTCATTTCAGAAACGGGAAGGATACAAGGTATGTGAAAAACCATGGATTTTTCAGTTCACTGTGCCAAAGATAAGGTAGTCCAGTAAGACTTAGGTGTTCTTATTGTGGTGGCTTTTGCCCATGGTTTGAACAATGTTTTGTACACTTGACTGCAACTGGCCAGTCCCTCTCCTCCAAAGTCTGAGGAACTAATGTTACATGTACTACAGCACAATCATAATTCTGTCAGCAGTCTCAGACTTTGGATTCTTGCTGCATTGTTCTCCCCAGCAGTCACTGTCATTCCTCTCCCCAGGTTCACCCTACAGCCTTAAATTCAAGAGATAAAAGATATGGTGAGTATTATTATACTCTGTCAAACAAAGTTTGGCACAATTATCAAAAGTGTACATCTTTTTTTGATAAGTGTTGGTACACTTATCAAAAATGTACATCTTTGCTGAAAATGTTTAATATGTCCAGTTGCTGTATTTTGTGCATCATAAATTTTGTGTATCATAAACTTTACTACTGACATGCAAAATAATATTTTTCCAATGCTAATGTGGATGTTGCATGTGCTTCAGTGTGCATCCCATCAATATTATAGGTATTCTGAAGTTCAGATTATAACTTGCATCAGCTATCACACTACTAGTAGGTACCACAAAATGGTAGTTCTAAGCATTTAAATTCACATACTTCTTTTTTTTCTTAAAAAAAACACCAAAACAACAAGACACCAACCAGCAGCAAGACAAGACATTTTATTCTGACAGTTTGGACAGTAGCACAGCATTCTCTTCAACAGAAGTCTTTCAAGCTCCTGTGCAATGAGTTAAGTAACACACTAGATGGAAAGACATAATGGCAAAAGGGCTCTGCACTTACACTTCACTCCTTCACCATTCCAGCCATCCAAGGCTTTGCTAAAGAGTTCAGTCATGCTGAGCTGAATGTGGGGTTTCACATCAGCACCACTGCAGCAGTCACTAGAACACACTGTGCCACATTCAGAGCATCCTTGGTAATACTTCTTTCTCAAAGAAAACTGCATGGCATGATTTCAGGACTGTTCCCTAGCATAATCCATTACAGTCTCCCAGCAGCACTATTCCCTTTCAGTGCTATTCACACAACCATTTTATGTAGTTTCCTGTTGTGGGTCTGCAGTCTCATCAGCACCTTATCCTTACTGGAAAAAGGCAGCTGGCCACAGACTCTCAGAGACTGGGAACCTCACCATGTGCAAGACCAGGGATTTGGTGTTTTTCTCCCTTTGTTACTTTATAGTCCTTTTAAGGTCATTATTATCCAACGCCATGGAGGCAAAGCCAGGGAACACAAAGGAATTCAACCTGTACAGAACAGCAAGGAAAAGGAAAGCATTCCCACAGTCAGGCTCATTTTGATGCCAGCTGCTCTGCTTTCCTATCATGCCATTTCACCTACCTACACCCAGTCTTTCAACTACAGAAGCAAAGAATCAGCAGCTACCAAGTTCTCCTTCAGAGCCCTTCTAGTACCCTGCAGTGTGCAATCTGTGAGAGCACAATTATCCCACAAGTGGCTCATTCCACCTTCTGGGAGGGCGAGCACATGGCTCATGCTGTTCTTCTTTCTGTCACTGCTGTACTTCCTTTTTCCTGCAGTAATTTACAGTGGCAGTGGGATGATACAACTCACAAGCACAGTGAGCATTACCCAAAATGGAGAAAACCCTGAGCTGTCTTTTGAACAGTACATCAGAAAGAATACAAAAAATGTTAATAATAGGGATTTAGGAAGGTTACCGTCTGTCACTAATGGAAACAAAATGGCTTCGTGTTACAAGAAGTACAGGAAAAATTCTAAAATAGGAATCTTGCTTCAAGATTTCATTCTCTGTCTCCTACAGGGAAGGCTACATCCCTGCTAAGCAAAGCACACACACTCAGCTTTTTTTTTTTTTTTTTTTTTAGTATGTAAGGCTTACTATGCAGCAGAGAACCATCAATGATGTACTTGTTCCTGTCCAAATCTCATAACCTCTACATTTAACATCTGAAGCTTCCAGGAATCAGTACTATGGATGATGACACTGCTGCTGTGCAGGGCAAGAACTGCCACATGCACACAGACAAACGCTGTTATTTTGTGGCTTTAAGTGATAATTTTAACCTGCTACAGCATTAGTGTTCTGCAGCGGCTGCTTCAAGTATGAATAGGAAGGTCAGACAATTTATTTTAAATTCCCCAGCAACAAAGCTTGGTCAACATTTCTAAAAGCACTCGGATCAACCAGAAGCCCTAACAATCAAGTAAACTTGTCATCAGGCCTGTCTTGGGGCTGTTAATTTCAGCTGCAGTGTACAATAGGCAAGGTCCATCAGGAAGCTTCAGTGTTGGCATAGACCAAAAGAAATGTTCTGTGTGCTTATCCACCTACAAGCCCTCCCCTCGCAGCTCTGTGGGAGCAAAGAGCTTCTGGAAATACCATCAAATTCCAACAGCTATCTTTCCTCCATTGAAGGGAATCTTCCTAACCACTCTTATTTGAAGATACAGTACCTCTCATCTCTGTTTTTTACAACACCTGTTCTGAACGCTCTCCGTTACCAGCACTTTACTCCAGTCTTTTTCCATATGGTTATGTCGAGTTCTGAGCAGAAATAAAGGAAACGTTTGCACGTTTTAATAATCCTGACTTGGCCAGGGTGGGGAGGGGCTGGCGGGCAAGCTCTGACAGATCAATGCAGGCCTTTCTGCTGCTGGGCTTCCGCTCCCCGCAGGCAAGAGCAGAATCACGGAATATCTGTGCCAATGGCCCAGCCTGACCCGCAGCGGCACGGGGACGCTGCCAGCTCCGCGCGGGTGGCGGGGATCTGTCAGCGGCACGGAGAGGCGGCAGCAGTGCCGCTTGTCCCGGCACACCGGGGGGATGCACGGTGCTGAGGGGCCAGCCCGGCCTCCCCCGATCCGCATCACCCACGCTCCGGGAGGGATGTCACCCTGCCACGAGACCGGCCCGAGGACACCGCGCGGTGCCGGCGGGGAAGGCGCTGCCGCGGCACCTCTTTGTCTGCCGCCCGCAGCACCGGGCCGAGCGCGGAGCCAAGCCCGGTGTCCCGGCAGCGGTGCCGCCGGCGCAGCGCTGCCGCCTCCCCGCCACCGCCCGCGGCCCCGGGGAGCGCAGATCGGCGGTGCCGCCGCCCCTTTCGTCCTTTCCCTCACCGCAGCTCCGGCCCGGCCACCGTCACACGTCCGCCGGGCAGGAAGGAAGCGCGGGAGGCCAAAGGCCGCCGCGGCACCATCGCGACGCGGTCCCGCTGCCCCCGGGGACGGATCGCCGGGGCAACGCGGCCGTGAGGCGGATCGGGCCCCGCGGCCTGCCCGGCGCCGCCGTTCCCCCGCGCCCCGCGCCGGCGGCTCTTACCGTGCGGGCTGCGCCGGGAGCTGCTCCGAGTGCGAGCGGCGCTACGGGGGTCGGGCCGCGGCCGCCGCCGGGGCCATGGGGCGGGCGGGGCGGGCACGTGACCGGAACGGGCCGCGGGGCGCCGGGGGTGGGGCCCGCACCACGTGACAGGGGAGCGGCTCCGAAGCCGCGCGTCCCCGGCGGTCACGTGGCGCCGGCGCCCCTCCCGGCCCCCGCCCCGGTCACGTGACGGCCGCTCCCCCGTCGCCATGACGGCGGCGGGCGGAGGGGGCAGTTACGCGGCAGTAAATCGGTACCGCCACCGCCCCCCCGCCCCCATCCCCGCCGCGCCCGGCCCGGCCCGTTTCCCGCCGTCACCCGTCCGCGCGGGCCCCGCTCGTCGCCCGCCATCGGCCCCGGCGGCCCGTCCTGCTCCGCTCCCGGGTCGGCGGCGCCGCCTCGCTGCGGGGGAGGGGCCTCCCCTCGGCCCCGGCCCGCGCGCCGGGAGGGAGGGGGCGCCGCGCGTGTCACGGCGTCACGTGGCCGGCGGGCGGGTGCGCGCGCGCGCGTGACGCCGCTTCCTCCTCCTCCCCCTCCTCCTCCTCCTGCTGCTCCCGCGCGGGCGGCGCGTGATGCGGCGCGGAGCGGGCGCGCGCTCCCGCTCCGCCCTCCCGCGGGTCACGTGGGCGCGCTGTTTGGAGGCGGCACCGGGAGAGCGGCGCCCGGAGCGGCCCCGAGAGCGGCGGCGGGAGAGTGCGGTGAGTGGCGAGGGAGCGGTACCGGCACCGGCACCGGGAGAGCGCGGAGCGCGGTGAGGGAGCGGCAGGGGGCAGGAGCGAGTCGTGGTTCCTGTGCCTCGCCCGGGCTCGGCTCCCGTCCCCTCCCCGCGGTTTCTGGAGGGGTCGGGGGGTTCCTCTGTCCTTTGCGATGCTGCGCCTCGCTCCGGGTGCGGCAGGCAGGGTCCCGCGGGGTCGCGGCTCAGCTCAGGCCACACCGGCGGGATGTGGCAGAGAGCGGGCACGGCAGAAGTGGCCACTAAGGTTTTTAAGATACTTTGGGAATTTACAAGCAATAGCTTTTAGTTTCGCTGGCTAAATGTGCCTCTTCCCTTTTCCTAGTGCCTGGTGAGAGTGAGCGCTCGCTTTCCTTTAGAGGAAATGTAAATTTCCCCCATGACGGCTTTTCTGGGAGGGAGTTCCTTAAATTATGGGGCCACATCCTGAAGGGTGCTTAGAAATTTACGGACTTGCCTGTGTAGTGTAACAGGTTTAGCGTTTTGTTAAGCAACGCACAGGTTTAAACTTTAAATTCAACAAGGAGTTATTTTGAAGTATGTGCTGCTTAGGAAAAATGCGAGGTTGTGATTTCAGTGATTATTTAATTCTTGGATTTCACTTCGTGTTATCTGTTGAATGCGGGAAAAGACATTCAGTGGAGAGGATAGCTTATAATTGTATCTAAATGCACAAATGCAGCTAATTTAGTATAACTGAGAATAATGGTCCTTAAATTTAGTATAACTTGAGTATAATAGTTCTTAAGTTTACTTTTGGGCGAGGATATGGTATAGTTATAAAATGCCAATGTTAAATGTTTTCCTTGAGAAAATTAGTTTCAAATCAAGATTGCATGCTGTGGGGAAAAGTGAATTTTTCCAGAAAACAAGGTGTGTGTTAATTTTTTTTCACAGACAGATGTAAATATAACTACAGTTTAAATATTTCCAGGTGGGTTATCCAATAGGTTAAGTTTTCAGAAAAGAACTTGAACAAAAACTTCTCATAAATGAAGCAGGAGTCTTATTTTCCAGCCCTTGGGCCTCTTTTTGGCGAACTGAAACCTGATGGTTGTTGAATAGGAAAACACTTGGTGTTTCTTTAAGCACAGAACACCAGCTCAAATGAAAAAAAAGTGAGCTAATGAAGAACTTTATTTTTGGCAGGTGCAGCTAAAAGCTGAAGCCATAACGCACCCATGAGTGAGCAGCACTAGTCGTGTGCATCCATGGCCTCTGTGCCAGTAATTCCAGACTCTTACAACCATGTCTTGGCAGAGTTGGAGTGTTTGGATCCATTGCTTTCTGCACTCAGGTTGGATTCCAGTCGTCTTAAGGTGAGTTTGTGGTGTATGGGTTTTTTTATTTTTAAAATTTTTTAAAATTTAAAGTAATGACCCCATTTGGCTAATTATTTGATTAAGCCATAGGATTAATCTAATTCTTTTTGGGATGTGTGCATATCTTAGTGGGAGGGGAGTACTTTGGGAAGAAAGAGTGAAGATAATGAACCCTGTTGCTCTGTGTGTGTTTCCTTCATGCAGCTGCGGGTACCACAGCCTGGCACAGCTTACACTGCTTGTTTAATGATCTTCACTGCCAGTGGTTCAGGAGTGGTACACACAGCTGGCAAACAATGAAGCCTTTAAAAACCCAACCATAATAATGCAAGATGCTGTGATCAGAACTTACCAGGTTATGCATTATGATTTTTATTCCCTCAGTGCACGTGTATAGATGTGTCAAAGAAATGGCTGGCTCTAGGCAGCTCAGGAGGAGGACTGAACCTTATCCAGAAGGATGGTTGGAAGCAAAGACTCTTTCTCACTCACAAGGTAAGGATAAATTTTTTAAATTAAAATTTCCAAAAATGAGGCTAGAAAAGAAACATTATTTCAAGTTAATTTATTTTAAGAGTCAGTAGGTGCTTTCAACTTACTGGGTTGTCCAAGGAAGGTGAAGTTTTGGACTGCTGTGTTTAAAACAGGTTGTGGTTCTGGAGAGTATCCCCTGAGTATGTGGTATACTAGATTTCATGAGATGTGAAAAATATTACTTCAGAGTTTCAGACCTTTGTTTTTCAAATTCTTACTTTTTAACAGCAGCAGCAAAGTCACCTGAATATTTAAGGATTAGAAGAAAATTTTGAATATGAAACCAGAGCAACTCACAAGTAGATAACTGCCAGTGTTTGAGTGTTAGAACTGTGGCATACCTGGATAAGTAAAGAAAAGATAGACTGGCTTACTGTTGCTGGAAGAGATTGTGAAACAGGGATTGTTATTTGTACAGCTAGGTGCTATATCTTAGGAGCCGCTGCTGCTTCCAGTATGGCATGAATGCAGCCAGTTTTTTAAGGCTGGGAGCACCAAATGTAATTCTGTCAAAACAGCTTCCAAACATGTGAGGACAGAGGAGTGATTTCTGTGCTTTCCAAATCAGAGAATGCACTGCAGTCCTTGCTCTTGATGTTGTTGTGCTGTTGTCAGCTGCATCTTGGAGTAAACTCAGTGTTTGCAAATAAAACCCAAGCAAACAGTAAGAACCAACCACATCACAGCAGAGTGGTAGCATCTGTTGGCATGAATGTGGTTTATCTGTCAAAGGTGAAAGCTGCACGGTGGTAGTGGCAGTACAGAACAAGTTCCACCTGCTCTGACTCCTGTCCTTGCTTTCAGGAAGGTGCCATTTCCCAGGTGGCCTGTTGTTTGCATGATGAAGACTATGTTGCTGTTGCCACCAGGTGAGTGGTCTACTCACAAACCTGAGCACTGGATTAATATTTTTAAGAAGCTTCAAGTCTCAGATGTAGACAGCTGCTGAGAACTCAGAGTTAATTTATCAGGTTAACTGGTAGAGGCCATTACAGGATAATTCTCTGCACAGACAGTTTGCCTTTTTTTTTCTGGAGTAGTAATTCTAGGTTAAGTATTATTTCTGTAACTGAACATCTATGGCAGAGCTCATGCATGTGAAATTATGATGATAAATGTCTTTCTGAGACCTTTCAGCATAAAAAGAAGCATTTTCATTAACATGGTAGAGTGAGATTGATAGTTAATTCCACTTACGTTTATTAAAATCTATTTAAATGTTTTTCCACATTCCCACTTGCAAGTGTAATAACTGTAAGAATAGCCTTACAAAGCTGCTTATGCATTGCAGTGCAAAGAAGGACACTTATTCTTCTCCAAAATTAAGTGTGACACTTGTTGAAACTATGCAGCCTCAAACAGAAACAGCTCTGAGGCATGCTGCTTTGCTTGGGTCTCCTCTTTCTTTGGGAAAAAGCATCTTTATTAACTAATAAAACTTTACAAGACTTATTTTCAACCTGTATTCTTCTTTTAACTTGTTGTAGCCAAGGCCTTGTAGTGGTGTGGGAGCTGAATCAGGAGCGTCGTGGGAAGCCAGAACGGATTTATGTTTCCTCTGAGCATAAGGGCAGGAAAGTCACAGCTCTGTGCTGGGATACAGCTGCCCTTCGAGTTTTTGTAGGAGATCATGTGGGGAAAGTATCAGCCATCAAGATTAACACATCAAAACAAGGGAAGGTAAAATGTTGCATACTTTGATTCAGCTTAATTCACAGGGGGTGATGTCTGGAACCTCTTAGTTTATTTTGGCAAAGTGGAAGAGAGCAGGACTTGCCTTTTAATGAAGTTCTGGTAGCTTTAACTATTGGGATGAAGAACCAGTCTCTTGAGACAACCATAGAAATCCTGACCCATGAACTCACCCCAACCTTATTCTGTCTATTTTAGTAATGCAACTTGAAAATGCTTTCAAATGTTCAGAATTAAAAACTGGTCAATCTCCTGCTTCTTGGAATTTACAAGTATCAAAGTTAAGGGTCTTGGTGTTTCTGAGCTTATTGGATTCCTTAGACTCCAGCTGCAGGTTCAGCTGTTTGGTTTAGTCCTCAGTTCAGCTGTTGGTCAGAGAAAGAGCAGTCCCAGACTCTGATTTTGTTTGGCTTTGTCTGGATGCTCATTCTTAAATGTCTGGGTTGGATAAAATAAATGGTAGGTGGTCATTGAGCCTACATGCTTTATATTTTGTGCAAAGGACACACCTGTTAGTGATAGCAGCCTGATTTCTAGCCCTTGAGTGTTCTTTAGCTTTTATTTCTACTGTGTCCTTTAATTTTAATCAGTAAAAAGGAGCAGAACCTGAAAATAGTTGTGTTCATCCAGGTGCTTTCTAGCCCTCATAGAAGATTTTGATGGAAAATTGACTTATAAGTAGCAAGACCATTATTATATTCAAATAAAGAGGGGGAGGGAAAGTCAGCTGTGGGAGGAGCAAAGGGCAAGGCCCAT